AAAATTCTCTTCTAATAAAAGCACTTTTTGAGCTTCATCCTTAATGCACTTCACTTGAACTAAATCCTTACTACTCATATCTTTTTGTTTAGCTAACTTATATATATATATCTTTCTCCCTCCTTAGTATCTAATCTATTATATAAATCATTAAAACCTAAAATATTTGCATTGCAAATTGCTTTCTTAGACTCCTTATGGATCTCTTTATACTTTCCCAATTATTAGAATTTTTACCGCTAAACTAATTTTATAACAATTCTTCTTATTTTTTATTTTTTTTTGCACATTTTTTATTCCACCACTAACAATTTTTAATATTAGTAGATTCTCTTTGATACTCCAAGTACATCTTTTGCAACATTCTTAATATCACTAACTACTATTTGCCACATAACATTAGCATCCTCATGCACAGACAAAATCTTAAGATCTAAAATCTTACCAAAGGTCCACCTTTAAATCCTATACAAAGAATCCCAGCCCTTAATCTTTTTTGGTGCATGAAGAACCAATGCTGCCTATAATTTTGGTCTTTAAAACATACAAAATTCTAAGTATCCTCCGTTGAGAGAAAGGTGGCAAGCTCTAGAAAACGCCTTTTAGTAACCCTCATAAAAATCCCAAATTAATTGATATTAGAGCATAGATCCTTGCTTATATGTTATACATGGTTTAAAATTGCTCAATAAAAGGGGCGACCTTTAAGCCTCAAAGCCCACGCAAAGAGTTCAGGATTTGAGGCGTACGCCTCAAGTTTACTGAGGCTCGCCTCCCCTCACGGTTTAGAGGCGTCCGCCTCTAAAAACTTTTAAAAAAAAAGGCTAACCTAATATATATTTCTTCGGTTCGGACCCCCCAGCCCCCGCGCGGTCTTCCGTCATTTCCCAAAAATAGGTTTTCTCCCTTCTTCTTCAAGTGACCTTTTTCCCTCTTCGTTCGGCGTCGGCTTCCTTCCACTGTGAGTTTCTCTTCGCCTATTTCTTGGAGTTATCTTCTACCGCAAGTTGGGTTTGAGTCTCCTTCGACCAACCACTGAAAGCTCTTCTTCTTCGTTGTTCCATCTATCACCTTATTTTGAAATACAAGATCGGTCTGTTCTTCCATAAGGACCTTCATATTCTACTGAGTAAGATTCCACAATCGGTCTGTCTGCTCGGTACCGCTTGGTATCGCTCTATATCGCTAGGTACATGCTCGATACCGCTAAGTACATGCTCGATACCGCTAGGTACATGCTTGGTACCGCTAGGTACATGCTCGGTACCACTCATACAACAATGTTTGGTACCACTAGGTACATGCTCGGTACCACTCGGTACCGCTCGGTACCGAGCAAGTACATGCTCGGTACTGCTCAGTACATGCTCAATATCATTCAGTATCTTTCCATAGAAACAACTAACGAACTTTAAAATCAAGCAGAAGTTCAAAATTACTCTTACAATAAAAATTTGTTCCGGGCGCTGCCCCTGTGAACCCCCACAGGGGCGCTACCCCTGGAAACCCCCGCAGGGGCGCTACCCCTTGACCCCGTGACCTGACCGGGCAGGTCGAACCCCACAAAGGGGCAACGCCCCCTTGGACCACCGGCAGACCGGTATATTGTTGTATTCATCACCTTTAGTAATAGTTGTTAATGTTAGTCTGCTTCTTCATGAGTGCATGCTTTGTATAAATTTTCTTAATATAGAATAAGTGAAGCATTATATTTAGGGATTCGATATATTGCAATAATATATTCTTCTCATAAAGAATGATCAGAAGTAAGGATAAAGCTGCATCAGATCATAGAAAAGATCTAGCATGAAAACATAACACTCGGGTGGATGTAGGGGGAAGTGATAAAACATATATCTATCTAAATTGTGATTATTGTGATAAAGTTGTGAAGGGTGGTGTGACTAGGATGAAGGATCACCTTTCAGAATCTCATAAGAATGTTGCTCCATGCTCTAAAGTTCATGATACTGTAAGAGAGGAGATAAAGTCATACATGAATAAGTCTACCACATCAAAACATCTTGCATGGAAGCAATTTGAGGACAGAGTTGATGTTGGCTCTTACTACGAGAGTGAGCACAGCATTAGGGATTCATCTTCTTTGATGAAGCTCATTTCATCTAGGTGTTCTAGAGGGCCTATGGATTATTATATGGTGGACACGTCAGAGAATATGCCTCCTACTACACAGAAGATGGCCCCAAAAAATGCAAGGGAGGCACAGAGACGAGTGTATAAGGACATAGGCAAGTTTTTTAACGAAAATGCAATTCCATTTAATGTTGCAATATCACATGTCTATTATAACATGATTCATTCAGTTGGAGCATTTAGGAGAGGGTTCAAACCTCCAACTATGTATGATTTGAGAATATAGATTCTGAAGGAGTTAGAAAGCACCAATAAAAGCATCGAAGAAATTAAGAGGACTTGGTCCTAAGCAGGAGTAACAATTATGTCATATGGATAGTCTAATATCAAACATAGAAGTCTGATCAACATTCTCATTAATAATCCTTAGGGTATTGTATTTTTAAAGTCAGTTGAAGCATATGACCAGGTCAAAAATGCTGAGATTATATTTGGATTATTATATAGCATTGTTGAGGTTGGAGAACATTTGGTTGTACAAATTGTGACAGATAATGCAAGTTCTTACAAGGCTGCAGGTAACAAACTTATAGAGAAGAGGAAACATCTGTATTGGGCTCTATGTGTTGCACATTGTATAGATCTGATTCTTGAGAAGCTTGGGGAGATACCTCAACATAAGAATACAATTACTAAAGAAAAAAAAATAACCAAGTTTATTACAACAACTCTTGGGTTCTAGCTCTTATGAGAAAATTTTCAAATAAAGAATTTCTAAGACCAGCAGCAACAAGATTTGTCACCGCTTACTTGACCTTAGAGAGTATGTTGGAAGCTAAACAACCTTTAGAGGCTATATACACAGTGGTTGAGTTGTGCTTGGGCGAAGAAGGCTGAGAGAAAAAAGATTAAAAATATTGTTTTAAATAATAGATTTTGGCAAAGTATCTTATATGCCATTACAACCATTAGACCTTTGATTCATGTTTTAAGGATTGTGGATGCTGAGAAGAAGCAATAAGTTTCATCTACAATGCATTGGATGAAGTCAAACAAATGATTGCCTCCAACTTAGGAGTCAAAGAGGGTAGCTTTAGGAAAATTTGAAATATTATTGATGATAGGTGGGAGCTACAACTTCACCGGTTAATGGTTGTAATGAACACGTCTACAACTTTAGTTTTACTAATACGCCCATAAAAACAAAAATCTTTATTTTCATTTAGGGTATTAAGGTCACTAAAGTCAACTGCATTCTCATAATCTTTATTGAAAAGTTTAACAAAATATCTCATCCACCTTTGTTAAAAATTCTCTTCTAATAAAAGCACTTTTTGAGCTTCATCCTTAATGCACTTCACTTGAACTAAATCCTTACTACTCATATCTTTTTGTTTAGCTAACTTATATATATATATATATCTTTCTCCCTCCTTAGTATCTAATCTATTATATAAATCATTAAAACCTAAAATATTTGCATTGCAAATTGCTTTCTTAGACTCCTTATGGATCTCTTTATACTTTCCCAATTATTAGAATTTTTACCGCTAAACTAATTTTATAACAATTCTTCTTATTTTTTATTTTTTTTTGCACATTTTTTATTCCACCACTAACAATTTTTAATATTAGTAGATTCTCTTTGATACTCCAAGTACATCTTTTGCAACATTCTTAATATCACTAGCTACTATTTGCCACATAACATTAACTTCCTCATGCACAAATAAAATCTTACTCTCAAAAATATTTTTGTTAATTTTTTTAAATGCCCCCATCTAATCCTAGAACAATGATTTGCTTTATTTTTTATTTTCTATCCCTTCATCTTGAAGTCCAAAATTAATAAGCAATGTTGGGTGCATAAACATTCACTCGTAATAATTTTAAAATCATTGCAATCTATACGATTTATTTTTCTTAAAAGAAAATAATCAATCTAAGATATAAATAATATGCCTTACATTTTAATTGAAGATGGCATAATATAAAATAAAGACGGGCTTTCTTCTAGCATCCCTTAGAACAACTGATTCCTCTCTTACTCTTAATCATCAGGCTCCTCTTCCTAAGGCATTCATCTTTCTTCACAATCTCTTTCTATTTAGTATTTACCCCCCTTAATTCTTTCTCTAAAATGCATATTTTGCTCTCAAAAAATAAATATTAAAGCAACATAATGATCTATGCAACCCTGCTTGTCAACATCCACCGCCCCCCACATGCAACACCACCCATTATTGATCATCGACAATGAAAATTGATTTTATCAACCCGATCACCAGTTATCATTAGTGATAACTCCAAAGAATCCCTTTAAACAAATAGACCCTAAAGGAGCCTTCTTCCTCAGTGAAATAGATGAAAGGTTTAAAGTTATGAAGTTCTTCATTGCGTAAAGTACGTATACCTTGTTATGTTTTTGCAAATTTAAACTAGATGTGGACCATAAAAGGGTCATACTGACACATTTGACAAAATAACTCATTATAGGTGAAGGCAAGTTTGCTTAAGCAGCGATCCACTTCGGAAATTGAAAACAAGAAGCGGCTTTGGAAATGTATCCTCGTCATCAAAGCTTGGAAGAACAGCTATTTCTCTTTGTATACGCCATCAAAGAAATAATCTTTAGGCATTTTCACTCCACCAGGAACGCGTAATTTTGGTTTTAGAGAGCTGTAGTTACAGCAGGGTCAATTCATTTTGCTTTATGAGTGGAGCATTATTAAGTGTACCAGTAAAAATTATTTATCGAGTCTTCAAGTTAGTTGGCTTTTATCAATAAGAGCAAACCAAACAGCTTAGCACTAATATTGCAGAATCATATTAGTAAATAGTGCAACTTCAAAAGTTATAGCAGCACTCGCAGTGAAAAATGCTGAAGGAAAAGCTGCCAGCCATACCTTCTGCCGTGCCCTTCTAATACTTTGCCTACCATCTTCAGCACATTTGGAAACCACTTTGCACAATGCCTACAATGAAACAAGAGTTTCATAATTACTAGTTCAGAATAGTGAAAGCAAAACATGTTATGGTGTATGCATCAGTAAGAACTCACTTGCATGTTCTCCTTGGTCAGTCTGTAACAGTTTTAGGAGAAAAGTATCAACAATCTCACTCGTCACAGGAAGGCCCAGTTAGTTATTACAACTCAATTATCGGCAAGATAAAAGTAACTCATAAAAGGAAATGAACAAGATACATACGGTGGGATTGGTGTGATGATTCGTTGGTCGCCAAGGATTGGGTTTATACCCAAAGGAGATGAAACTAATGCATTTTCTATGTCTTTTAAAGTCTGCAATAAAGAGGTATGAAGGTAGTCAGTCATACCTAACGCCATCCACATGCTAAGCAAAAAAATTATCTATCCATTGTGCAATCCATCTCGGCAAAAATTCTAGAGAAATTCATATAAAGCTTGTGTACCTCCTCTGCTAATAAGATGAATTTGTGAAATTAACAATTCGAAAACTAACCAAATTGCAGCTTCAAGTCAAATTCTCCAGCTCAAGGATTTAAGCATCACAGATCAAAAAACTTTTTTTTTTTTGAATTTCAAAAGGAACCGAAAAGCTTGCAACATAGGCTAGCACACAGCCCTGACAGTTGGAGTGGAATCCTAACGATATAATGAGAAGTATGATTTGAATTTTGTTATTAGCCATATCTGAATTAGAGCTCCAATCATGAAGGATGTGCTAACATACAAAAATACAAATTGGTACTTTCTCATTGCATGATATTTTTATGGCAGTTTTCCATATGGACAACTCAACTTTAGCAACAGAACTTACGTCATCTTTTTTCTTTAAGAAAATTAAGTGACTAGCCCATATCATAACCAATAAGTAGGATACAAATAAATCCGATATTTATCACTAATACATGAAATAGTAAAGAAATAATAAAAAACTGAAGCTGAAGAAAACTAGTTAATAGTCCTGAAATAAAACAGCTAAATAAAAGGTAATATAACCAAGTCCAAGACTCAGGAAGGATTAAATGATTCAAGAATAATCAAGAATAACCCAGAACAGTTTGCCAAACCCGATTGCCAGAGCAAAGCAATGCCATCCAGAGGTGCAGCAAAAGCCAAATTATTTTAATAAATGTAAGAGGAAGTAGCAGCTAATAAGAAAACTAAATTCACACATTTGCTAATGACAAGGCAGTGGCCTTGAAGTTCAGCAAAGAATTGCAAAGGAATAATCTTTCATCATAGTCCCAAGAAAGGTGACAACAAAAGAATCCAATATATACCATATAAAACTGAATAAAAATATCTTGGCTAGCCAATAAAAATTTTGATGTCGTTGCAGCTTTCAAGCCTTTTAGTTTTAGAAGGATAGACCTCGAGGTCTCATAATAAAGAGAAGAAAATGTATGAAAGGAATTATTAAGTTCAATTATTCCGTTCTTTCCATATATAATAAACGAGTGAGGAAATCTGAAATCTATGAGCATTTGCAACTTCAGCATTATTACCAACATTATCATCCATGAAATCCAGAGCCCGGAGAATCATAGGAGGCAGCAGGAAAGAAGAGAATATAAGAATAACTTCCCCTAAAAGATTAAGAGAGAAATCAAATTGAAAAACAAGTGCCTGTTGATCACAGGGCAGCTATCACAAAGAAGGACAGCTTATTTACCAAAAATTTTCTTATAGCAAGAGCATCAGCAATTTTAAGACCACCAACAAAAGAAAGCCAAGAGTAAGTTGAAAACCTTAGAGAGTGCCTCTTATGTCAAATTTGTTTGTGCCAATCCACAAGATCCACATTATCAAAGCAAAGAAACCAAAAAATGCTTAAATTTCAGTTTCGATATAGCTTTCCAGCAAATGCAAGCCTAATGGGAATGTTTTGAATAAATGTAGCAGGAAGATTCCAATTCTCGTTATATAAAATATCTGTAAAAATAAGTTTTTTAAAAGGATCATTAATGTGTCTAGAAAGAAGATCAAGTGTCTTTTCAATAGTACTCCCTTGACACCAAGGTATCCCAAAAGTTGGGAAGCAGCTCTCAGCAAATGACTTCAAAATTAAATTCCATTGTCAAATTAGCAGCAAGTAGACATAAATGTTTCCAAGTTTTTTAGGCTTTGGTATTATAAGCTCCAGCGAGTATAATGCTCCAGAGAGTATAATGCTTATCTTTCCACAAACAAGAGAGAGACTGTTTGTAGAAACAACCCTCCAAATAAGAGATATATTATAAGCATGACACGTATTTTTAATTGCAGGGATGCCTAAATCCTCATATTTCAAAGAAAAATGAGTCTTACTCCAAGATACCATATGTATTTTATTGGCATCTACATCCTCATGATTAAAAAGAAACAGAGCAAAAACCTTATTAATGTTCTTTTAGCAAAATTTAGGTAAAATATATTCCCTAATCCAATAGGCAATATTGTTAATAATAGAAAATTTGATAAATTGAAGCCTTCCAACCAAAGAAAGTGATTGGACATCCATCCATCAAGTTTTAGGGATATTTGGTTCAGCAGAGGAATGAAATCAGATTTCAGCAATCTTCTAGGAGCAATAGGCACCCGCAAATAAGAGAAAACATCGCTATCATTAATAATATCTAGAGTACCTCTATGCTAATTCTTGATGGAGTTAGAATAGAGAAAATGATGTTACTTTTATTAGGGTTAATAGAGAGACCAGTATAAGATTTAAATGTGAATAGAATATTCTTAAGAGAAAGAAGATTAGTGGAGGAAGATTTACCAAAAATTAACACATCAACAACATATAATAAGTGAGAAAATGATTATTCTTAGTTTTTATGCCCTCGTATGAAAGATTCCTGATGTGATCTTCATAAAGTTGGAAAGTTGGAAAAGATTATCCATAGGAATATAGAAGATATAAGGAGAGAGGGGACACCCCTATCTCAAACCAACTTTAGAAGGAAAAAAGCCTTCTAGACAGCCATTAATCCACAAAGAAAAGTGAACATTCATAATGCAAGCCCGAATCCAACTGATAAACATAGAGGGAAATCCAATATTATGCATTCTTTGAAGAATATATTCTCTTGAATTAGTATCAAAAGCTTTATGCACATCCAAGTTTGCACAAAATAAGTGATTTTTCCCCCTCAAGTCAAAATCCGCCAAAATCTCTTTAGCAAGAATGATATAATCAGTGGAAACTCTATTTTTAATAAATCCATATCAACTACAATGTATAATATGAGGCATAACATATTTCAATACGGAAGCTAAAAGCATTGCAATTATTTTGTAAAAAATATTACAAAGAGATATAAGCATGTAATTTGAGATATTTCCCACATGAGAAGACTTTGGAATAAGTGATATGGCCACTACTTTTACTTTTTAGGAAGGTAGCCTTTATGAAAGAAGTGTTTAATAACTCGGCAAACATTTAGACCAATAACATACCAAGAAGATGAGTAAAAACCAAATGTGAACCCATCAAGCCCAGGAGCAGTATTCTTTGGGGAAGAAAATACTACAGATTTAATATCATAATCAGAAATGGGGCAAGAAAGGTGTGACAAAAGAAAATTGGGGACTTTGTCACAGTGAAGAGACATAGAAGGAGCAGTTGCACGAGGGGTTACAGGGTTAAAAATCTCATAAAAATGTTTGACGGCCACGGTAGCAATCCCAGAGAGAGTCTGATGAGCCCCATCCTCAGTGTAAAGGTCTCTAATTGAGTTATGATTCCTTCTACCTTTGATTTTCCGATATAAAATTTCAAATCATCTTCACCCCTTTGCAACTGCTTAGTCTTCCCCCTTTGAATAATCCAAAATGACCAAGCAGAGTAAGAGGAGGAGAAGGTTTCTCCAATAATATTGACCTCCAAGATATTACTTTATTTCCATTAATGTTAGCTAATGATTACTAACTTTACATCTATTAAAATTGCGCAACATACACTTAATCTTGAATTTACCAATCTAAAATCTCTCATCTTATAAACCTTCCATTTATTATTTAAACTTTTACTTGCTTCAGAAGAGACCTCGTAATGCAAAAAAAATTGGTCTTTATTCACAGGAAATGTAAACCATTGGCATTGATTTTATCTAAAATTGAATATATGAAGTGTAGTTTTAGTAATAATAGATCTAGTGGAGGGATTGTGGCTTTGGGCGATCAAATCATTAATAAGAGTAACCGTTTTAGATATATTGGGTCTATTGTTCAAAGTGATGGTGAAATAGATAGGGATATTATTAGTAGAAATCAAGTTGGATGGTTGAAGTAAACGAATGCATCGAACTTGTCATGTGATAGAAAAGTCCCTCTCAAACTTAAGGGAAAATTCTATAAGATGGTGATGAGACCTGCAATGCTTCATAGTGAAAAATGTTGGCCATTAAAAGATAATCATAATATTAAGTTAGGTGTTGCAGAGATGAGGATGCTCAGGTGGATGAGTGGATTTACTCTTAGAGGCAGGATTCAAAATGACCACATACGTGAAAAGGTTGGAGTAACTTCAGTGGATGATAAGATTAGAGAGAGTCGCCTTAGATGATTTGGTCACATAAAACGGTGGCCTTCTGAAGACCGGGTTAGGAAAGTAGATGTATTAGATTTAATTTATGTTAAAAAAGGTACAGGTAGACCTAAAAAGATTTGGTAAGAAAATATTAGAAATGACCTTTTTTATTAGATTTAAATGAGAATTTGACTCTTAACATGACACAATCGAGAAAAAGGATTCATATGGCCAACCCCACATAATGGGATAATGGCTTGATGATGTTGTTGTTGTTGTTTTATATCTAAGTTTCAATTTTCCAGGTTTATCTTCTAGTAGAAGTACGCCTTTGATGATAATTCTATTGAGAAAGGTATGTTTTCTCCATTATTTTAAGTTTCCGAACTGATTTTGCCTCGAGATTCGTGCCCGATCAAGATAATTTTGTGATGACGTATCAAAAATAAATATTTATTAAACTACTAATAATACAACTAATTATTAAATTAAATATTTATATAATGTTCTATGCCAAAGCCTGCCTATTTCAAGAACTTCTCTGCTCTTCATTCTTATAGACGTGGACTCTTAGGTCCGAGCTGAAAGAAAAGATTTTACTACTACCTACAGCAAGCTGAGGCCTCCAGGCACTCAAAGCCTGAGCGAGCATCCAAGCCCAAGGCTCGAAAGAAAATCATATTTCTAGCGAGATCGATCGATTCTTCATTTCCTATCGAGCGAGTAGTGATGGGTTACATTTCAAAATCTAAAATAAATAATTTCAAATAAGCCCACTCACTCTTAACAAAAAGAAAAAAAA